CGCGGGCGCTAGCTGGTCCTCCGACGAACAGCGCCCGCGCGCTCGCTGCCGCTCGGCGCCCGCAAGGTGTTCGACAAAACACCTAGAAGGTATGTATTGCTCAAAAGCCACGATTTTCGTGCATGTTGATTGTAGTTTTTTATTTATAGCATAGTATTCAACATTGTAGATGAGCTCGTCGTATGATTCTTCCGAAGAAGAATTTGATATGGAAGAGGAGGAGGATCTTGCAATGATCCTAGCTATGCATATTAATAAAAAACCGAAGCACGGTGGTTCGGTTATGGGTCGGCAGAAAATTTGGAGGGATAGGATCGATGCCCACAACAGATTGATCAGGCATTATTTTGCGGAGAATCTCACATACCCCGAGTCGTATTTTCGTCGCCGGTTTAGGATGAGCACCGAGTTGTTCAGGCGCATTGCAGAGAAACTAGCGAGCCATGACCGCTTTTTTCAGCAAAGGAGGAATGCCGCCGAAGAGCTCGGGCATAGCACCTTTCAGAAGGTGACAACCACTTTGCGTATGTTGGCATACGGTATACCGGCTGATCTAGTTGATGATCACTTGGCTATGGGTGAGAGCCAAGCCATCATGTGTGTCAAGAGCTTCGCAATCGGAATTGTGCAAGTGTTTGGCGAGGAGTATTTGAGATCTCCCAACGCTGAAGACGTCGCAAGGCTTTTGGCGATGAACAAAGCTCGCGGCTTTCCTGGCATGCTTGGCTCAATAGATTGCATGCATTGGAGTTGGAAGAATTGTCCAAAGGCATGTCATGGGCAATTCCACGACCAAAAAAAGGGTTCCACTATAATCCTTGAAGCGGTGGCCGATCAAGAGACCTGAATTTGGCATGCATTCTTTGGAATGCCTGGATCTGTGAATGACATCAATGTTGTCAACCGGTCACCACTGATGAGTAAGATTGCAAAGGGGGAGTTGCCACCGGTGCAGTTTGTAGCAAATGGCCGTACATACAACTATGGCTATTATCTAGCGGATGGCATCTATCCAAAGTGGCAAACCTTTGTCAAGTCGTTGAAAAAGCCAGAAGGTAAGAAAGAACTTGATTTCCACAATGCTCAGGCGGCGGCTAGAAAAGATGTGGAGAGAGCTTTTGGGATTTTGCAAGCCCAATTTGTTATTGTGAGAGGACCGGCTAGATTTTGGGATCAGAAGATGTTTTGGTACATAATGCATGCTTGTGTGATCATGCACGATATGACCATCGAGAATGAGCGTGGCCAAGATGTAGACTACTCTCAGTATGAGCTCTTGGGATATCCCGTGCGAGTGCGACGGAGGGCTGAAAGGGTGGCCCGTTTTGTTGCCTCCTATCATGCCATTCGACGTCCCGCAACGCATAATGATCTTCAGAAGGATCTCATTGAGGAGTGGTGGGCATGGAATGGACGACAAAGAGCATCATGATTTGTGCGTTCATTATTGTATTGTTGAACTATTTGTTGTGTTTAATTGCACTATTTGTTGTATTGAACGATAAACTGTTTGTTTGAGTTGTAATAAATGAAGTTGAACTATTTATTTTTGTTTGTTTTGATCTTTTTGCTTCTGTTTTCGAATGCATATGTTGTTTGTGCGAGTGTCGCGTGCGCTGCATTTTTGCGCACTGCTGGAACGGCGCGCGCGCTGCATTTTAGCGCGGCTGTTGGAGCCAGCACTGCACGCCGCGCCAAACCAGGCGATGGGCGTGCGCTATAAGCTGTTTTTGCGCGCGGCGCGTTCGGCGCCTATTGAAGATGCTCTTAGCGCAAGCAATGTCCTCCTTTTCAAATGAGCCCTCTTTCATCTCTCAACTAATTCTTCTCTTTAGTGCGGCGATGCATGCTCATGGCAGTGCATGCCATGGTCACTGCATATCCAAACTACTAGAACGCCGGAGGTTCGCTTTGACGCTGCATGCAGGAGGCAACTAATCTATAATGCTGTTATTGCGTGAATTAATTCCTTCTTGTCGCAGTGTTCTCGCCGACGATAGCTGCCGCCTAGGATAGGAGGGGGCCGATGCCGCAGTGCCGGCTCATACGGCCTACGGCGGAGCGCGAAGCCCTAGCGTTCGCATAGACTGTGTGGAGAGCTGTCACGGCGACTAGAGGCTGCCGTCGTCCTCTCGCCCTAGCGCCACTAGTGGTCGTATTTCTTTTTCGAGGTATCCGCTGTGTCCATTAAGAGGATGGGCCGCGGGGGTGCGTATGGTGGTGATGGTGAATGGATAGTCGAAATTCCGCAATGCCGGTCACTCGTTTTTTTAGGGAGCCAGCCCACGTTTTTGCTAACAGTACCGAAACTGCCCCTGATCACAAAATATACTACCGAAAATCTGCAGTAGTATTTTCAAATCTGAGCCGTCCAAACACAAAAATAAACGGCCAATATTGATCTGATGTACTGTAAAAGGTCTCATTTTTTACTGCAGCCTTCTTGTCAAATTTATCCTATCAGCATAATATTTTTATATGTTATAAGCTGCTATAATCTACTCCCACCATTCCTAAAAATAGGCCTCCAGAGATTTCAATATGGACTAGATATGGAGTAAAATGAGTGTACACTCTAAAGTACGCCTATATACATCCGTATGTAGTTCCTATGGAAATATCGAAAAGGGCTTATATTTAGAAACGGAGGGAGCAGTACTGTGGTGGAATTGTAAGGGATATTGTTGAATTTTTTAAGGCAAGACAGTGTAGGTTGGCATCAGTGTTTCCATCATAGGGGAAGTTTGTGACAAATTCTCCGTCATGGGAGTCTATCGTTTGCCCCACTTAAATTCATGGTCAATGAAAGACCACTATGCCACAGAATGTGTATCCCTTGACAAATTGAACGGCATCATTGTAATAACCTGACATTCATATATAAGAATGCTATGCATCGGTATTGCCAATAACAGTACAACATATTCACTTCACTTCTATTGATATTGCAAGTAACAACACCATAGTAGATAGTACCACTACTTCGGAATATTTAGGTTACCTCCAAGCATCACCTCTTATTCTAACTTTCATACTGGACAAAGCATGAGCAGATAGTACCATGACTAAGCAACCCTGGTGCACTTAGGAAGCTGGATACATGGTTGTGCTCTTCTGGAGTGCCCAGGACGTGTGCTTACGGTTGATGAAGTCCAAAGCCACTGTATCCACATCCTTACTCACATCATCTATCTTGATATCATTGGCATGGCTGTCCTGAAATTTGACTTGTTTTTTGTTGGCTTCAACATGCTTTGCTCCTACTGCTGCTTCTTCTTTCCTCATAACACTGGCATGGTTGTCCTGAAATTTGGCATGGTGTTGGTGGGCTTCGAAGTAAAGCATACAAGTATGAGACATTGGTCTATGGCTCCTTGCTTAAGAGCTACGAGGAAATGCTGGAAGGGTAGGAATTGGTTTGCAGCAAGTGTGATGTTTTCTTGTCCTCTTTTATAGGCCAATGAGGATGCTTATTCTTAAGCGGCAAGTGGGTATCATATTCTCACTTTTGACAATTTTGAGCGAATCTTTCATCTTAGCATTCTTCATTCAAAATTGTTAGGCACTGAATGGATCCATGTTTATCTTCGAAGTTATTTGGCAAGGTTCTAACTTATATTGGACCTAAGATTAGTTCCTTCTGCAGTTTCTTCTCTTCTTTTTAGTTGGGAGCGTTGGGTTGTTTTCCCCTACCGCTGATAAAAGATAAGCACTATCTTCATTCATATTCTGGCATGGAACAGTTACGAGACTTGTATATTCTACACTTTTGGTTAATTCTGATTAGCAGAAAAAGTGCCAATAAGGTTATCTGGCTTCTATAACTGTGCTGATTTCAATATCCTGTATAACTTGAAAACAATATGAAAAAAAGATTAAAAAAATCTGAAATTTTGGGGGATCAAATATGATCAAAATTTTGATGTTCTTGCAAATTTTAAGCCAGAAATAACACTCGAGCAGAAATTACTGCTCAAAACTACACATAACTTTGAACACTGATTTTTTTGTGAAGGCTCCATGAATGTTTTTTGATGCTAAAACTTTGCATGAACATCGAATGTTTGATCATATTTGATCCCCCAAAGTTTCAGAATTTTTCTATTTTTTTTCATATTGTTTTTCATTTACTGTTCATTAGGGTGCCCCTGCACCCGGGAGCTGAAAGTCCAGTCTTCACTATAGTTAAATTTCATCCTTGTCCACAGTTCCTCTGAGCTGCAAAATTGTTACTATATTTAGTCCATGCATCCATCAAACAATTGGAAATATTAACTTGATTTTCTTTATTCCGAAAGGGCGTGTATTTTATTTCCTATTGAACTGATTTGAAGGAATTACTTTTTCCCAATGGTGCACAGGAATTTAAAACTGTGCTCTGTCCTATAGATGCTTCAAATATTATACATGTTTTCTAGCAAGAAAAAGCTATCGACCATTGCTCCTTTCCTCCGCATATGATTCTCAATCTATCATCTTTCCATTTCTCAAAAAGAAGTAAAGAACTGGATGCTTTTCATGTTCTTTCGTCCACTTTTCATATGCCTAAATAGTAATATTCGGCAATCACAAAGGGACCTAACCACTGCTTCCGTTTTTCTTGATCTGGGAAACTCTTTCTTGATCCGGCAGATTAAACGGAAACTAGATGAACCAAATGCTAATAATACTCATGTGTGTCGCAATCAAAATAATGTAAGCCACTTCATGGCTAGTTCTGGTAGGGTTCAAAGCCGTATCGCTGTTTTGGTAGGATCAGGACCTGATAAGGTCATAAAATTCTATGAAACAGATCGTAACCCTACTGTCAGCGAGACACACAGGTCACAAAATAGCTCTTGATAACTTTTATACCAAAATACATATGCTTAGATTGCACTCTTTGTGTGTCTCGCCGACAGCAGCCACGCAAGTTTGCCCTTTACTCGGCTATGATGCCAGAAATGTGCAGCTTCTTCCCAATCCTAAGTTGTTGCCTTCTCTGGTGCGCAAAAGCAATGGCTTTATTTTTGAACGGTGTACTCCTTTGACCCCGTTTGATGTCAACAAAAACTGTTCGTAGGTGTGTGACGGGTGTTGGAAGGCCGAATATGTGATTGTAGTGTTACTCTTATTTGGCTGTCTATCGAGAGAAATTATGCATGTCCATATTTGGCTTCAAAACAATTTTAATGCTCAAATAACAACAACAACATATTTTATACTAATAAATTAGGACTTACTAATTTTTTAAAACCATTTTGATGCTTATATTCGGATTCAATCAATATAGAATAAATAAGTGCGAAAAAGGTATGAACTACTAAAAACAAGGGAAGACATATTTCTCCTATTAATATTGTAATTAGAGAGGTAGATATATGAAACGATGTAAACTTTTATTGTTGAGAATGATTTTTTTAAGAATGACTATCGATACTTTTGAATATTTTCAGTTTTGTTGAAGTGGTGAACCTTTTCTGAGGAGATTGGAAGGAAAGGGGGGGTTTATGTTTCAGCAAGAGGACAAGGGCGAGGTGCACTTCTCGGGCACATGAGGGGGCCGACGCGGACGGTCTAGAAGCTTCGACGCCCATCGTGGAGGTATAGTTGGCAACGTAGCTAAGCGCCCCCTCCCCTCGACTGCTAGATTCCCCTCTCATCCAACCGCAGTTGCAATGTGCCTCCTTTTCTTGTCATGATTGGGTGCTAAAATTTATTTGACTTGACCATACCCTAAGGAGTCATGTGGGGATATGTTCAGACACACTACGATCAGGTGGACACCACGGTCACTGCCAGCGAGGATGGAACTGAGGGTAACCTGTGATAGGTGGGGCACCATGTTGAAATAGAGGAAGGAAAGGAGGATAATGAGCCTTGCTTACTCGACTATGTGTGTATGACAAAAAAAAATCTCCAACGCATGGGCATGTTTCCTAGTAATACTTAAATCATTAAATAAATGATTAACAACCATGCAATTTGTTTTATGTCAGGACTAACATGAGCAACTACTGATCTCGATCAACCTAATAGTGCATGGAAATTTCACGTTGTATCTGCTACACCAAGGCGGGAAACCATGAAAGCGGGCCTATCCATCTCAAAGGCACGGTTTTTCTACGGCTAAGACCGCGACTGCGTGGCCAATCCACCACCTCCTGCATCACCCCTGTCTCGAGATGGACGATGTAGACATGCCGGTCATTGTCCTTGACGAGCATCATGCCGCTCTTCTCTCCCAAGCACGTGTATACCGGATTAGGCTTCTTCATCATCTGATCAGGTTGTTTTAACCTAAGAATCAAAGCATGGAACGACCTCCCCTTGTCGTATGATGACCAGATCTCTAGTCGGCGACCGTCCTTTTGCAGGCTGAGCACCATGAGCCTCCCATCATCGGCAGTAAGGTACGGTTCATCATATGTCAACTGCCAACTGCCGGAGGTCATGGAGTTGCATGCCCATTAGTTCAGTAACAGACACGTGGCCAGTCTCAGTGCTGACAGCAGGAGTGTAGATTTCAGACTTGCCCCGTAAGAGCCAGTATGCTGCACCACCGCACACAATGGCGTTGTGCTGCCTAAGGGTTGCACTGATGCCACCGTCCTCGTTCTCCATGACACCATAGCACGTGTTCCATCCCGACTCGGTTGACGAACACGTGTGGAGATTGTACTGCATTGGGCCCTTTTGGACAGTAAGGATTAGCACCTTGAAGAAAGGCGGCCGCTGCTGCTGGGGCTGGGCATCTTGGTCGTCCTTGGAGCTTGAACAGTCGGCTGCGGCAAGTAAGGCATATCCACTCACGCCGTGGTTGTCTTCGAAGTCCCAATAATGGTCTAGCCACGGGAGCTCATGGAAAGTGCCAGTGAGTGGGTCGTACACGGCCATGAGGACACCACTCGTGCTCGTCTGAAGGCGGAGGAGGAGGACACCGTGGCGGGAGATGAGCGGCACCGCGTGGACGAAGATACAGGCATCGCTGAAGTCGGGGATGAAGGAGCTGAGGAAGCGGCGATGAGGACCCAACACCGGTAGCGGCGATGAGGCACGGCGTTGGGACCCCATCACGGCACGGTTGCTGAGTAAAGAAGCCGGCGAAGGGGCACGAGCGGCACGCATGGCAACGGCGGAGGAAAGAGGGGTTGGTGACGACGAGGCGGCACCACCTCTTGCAAACCGTCGCACAGCGGAAGAGGGTTGTTGGGAATAAGCCGTGGCGAGCCCGGGACGTGGTGCGCATGCGTGCGCGCGGTGAACGCGTCGGGCTCGGCCCATGTGAGCCTGGGTCACGTGCGTACATGACCTGGTGTGTGTGGGTTGCTAAGACGGACGCGTGCCGGGCGCTGGAACCAGTTGCGTTCTGTTGGCGTGCGTGCGCGGCGGGCGCAGGAGCTGAGGAGCGCGGGGCGTGGCACAGTGGGCGTCAGGGCTGGGCGAAAGCAGCGGAAGTGCAGTGGCTCGCGCCGAGTCTCGAGGAGATCGTGTACGCGCGCGTGGAGCTCGGCGGGCGGGCGTTGGGTGGGCGCTAGCTGCGTCCAGCTGCATGCATGCATGAGTTTGTTAGATGGATCAGGTCAGCTAGCTTAGTGCGTGTGTGTGCGCCCAAAAATGCTAGACTTAGGGAAACCAGCCTACGGATGGTAGTTACGGGATGGGGTGTCGTAATCTCATTGATGCTCAACCCGTGAATTAAGCTGTGGGATCCAAATCGTGGTAAATCCTAAGTCTCCACCTCATCTCCGTAACAACTTTCGGTGAAAACTGCCAGTAGCTGTAGCAAAGTCGGTGTGCGCCCGTGTATAAGTATTGACCCCGCATGTTGTAGTCTGGTGTGGTGAGTACGTGCTCAGGAGAAAATGACAACGCCGTTGGTACGGCGGGTGGCGTACGTGCGCCGGAATACTCTTGTGTCCCTGTGTCCTTCTTCCTCCAGTCCTCTTCTTCCTCGAGTGCAGAGAGAGAGAGAGGGGGGTAGTGCTCCGGTGAGGGAGGGAGAAGGGCGCCGCAACAACAAGGGTGGCCACGTCTTCGACACGGGCGAGGATCTCCAGGACCATGTCGTCCGAGACTACTGCCATGGTGGTGCGCACGCTCGGCTGGTCGACCCTGTATTGCTTACGGCCAGCCGGCCGGCTCGGTATATATAATCGAGTGTCGTTCGTAGTACAAGAGTATATGTCTGTACATACTCGATTGGAGTCGGATTGGGTTCTCGTCCGATCCAGATACAGGTTGACTGATAGTCTCTTTCTAAATCCTAGTTCTTATACTCGGACAAGGCAACTTGTAGGTACCTTATCCATCAACTCCTATCGTGGGAGCTTCTGTGTTGTGGACTACACTTCTTGGTATCGTGATTCTTTAGAAAACAT